CGACAGCCCTTCCACCTCCAGCACGCGCGGGGCAGGGGGCAGGGCAGGCCCCATCACCTGGGCCCTCTGGGGGCCCCGTCCGCCCGCCTCACAAGGATGTCATAGGTTCCCGTGGGGCCTAGAGGAAGCCCCTGGACAGAAGGATGCAGCACCTTCATGATCTGACCACCTCCCCGCGTCAGGGGGACCCTGGGGCCGGGAGAGGCCTTCTTCCTTGGGCTCCCACCGTCCTGCACTGCCCGTCCAGGGGCTGCCATCCCTCCCAGTACCACCTGGGCCCAGGTTCCCTCTCAGGCGTTTGGTGGAAGTCATTGGTGACACTGGTGGTCTCTGCCCCGTGTTCCCGCAGCTCTGAGGCGCGACTCAGGGGAGCCTCCCCTTCCCTACGGTGAGGCCATCGGGGCAAGCACCAGCCAGAGATGCTCCTCCCGCATTAATGAACTTCGCCTCCCAGCGCAGGCCTGGGGGCAGCAGCGTGCCCTGCCCAACCTCTTGCAAGGATAAGCCGGTTTCTTAGAACTTTAAGTAGAGTTCTCAAAGCCCAGGGTCATTAGAATCACCTGCTGGGTTTAAGACACAGACCCCTGAGTTTCTGATTTAGGGGCCTGGGGTGGAGCCTGGGGACCTGCACTTCTAACCAGTTCCAGGTGATTCTGATTCTGCTGGTCAGGAACCTCGCTGAGAACACGGACCCTCTGGTTCACGTATCGTCTAGCCCGGGTTGTCCCAGGAGCGCACCCCAACACTAGGTTAGTGCCAATAGTTCATCTGGCAGGCGTTCCAGGAAGTGGGAGAGAAACACTGATGGGCACCATACAGGTGCACTAATGAGCCCTTGGGAGAAGGTGCAGACCACGTGCCAGAGTTGTCCCAACCGAGGGCAAGGATGCTGGGCTACCTATCCAGCAATTCTCATTACTCATTGGCTGAGGGCCTCTCTGGGGGGTGTCAATCCCAGCTCTCCGCTGCCCCGCCCCTCACAGGAACACACATGCGGGCTGAGGACCTTAGGTGCTGCGGCAAGAAGCACGCCTGAACACGGTACCTACAGCATCCGCTACACCCACCTGCAGCCTGAGCAGGTCACAGCAAGCAACCCCAGGGCTCCCTTTCTTACCCACTTCCTGTGTCCCAGCCTTTCTGCTAAAGCTACCCGTCAAGGTGGCCCTGGATGGGCAGTTTCCTTTTTGGGTTTTTCAGCTCCTCTCCTGCTGTCCCTTCCCCACCAACCCAGCCTGTCACTGTGCATCCCATGGGTGGGAGCAGGGTCAGGAATTAAGTCTAATCATCCTACAGCCTGTTGGAAAGACCAAGTTCCTTCACAACTGGCAACAACAGGGAGGGTCCCTGTGATCCAATACAGTGGCAGCTTCCATCCCGGCTGCTGCCAAGGGGAGGTGCTCTAGGTGACAGTCTTTTTAAGTTAGAGCCTTTCTAAGTGTCCCGACTTGGGAGCGAAGACATAATCACACTTACAGGTTTGGATATAGGAAGAAGAAAAAAATAATTTGTCCGTGTCAGACACCTAAATCCCGGGGGGCATCTCGGGCGCTACTTTCAGATTTACATTCCGTCTTCATCTGTCACGTATGCTGTGAAGTCAGTGTGAGTTTCCCACTGACTCTTCCTCCACCCCAGTCTGCTCCCTCACTCCAGTGCTAGGAAGATGACACGCAGGCTCAGTGCTGTGTGTGTGTGTGGGGGGGGGGGGGGCCCACCCACC